AACAAAACATTGAAAAATAGTATGCTGAACTTTAGGGAAAAAAAATAGACAAATCTCGACTGTAGTAGTTTTTTTTTTGTTTCTTTTCTGTAATTACTTACCAAATTTAATTTGGAAAACAAAAACAGTAAGAATATGAAACTTGCATTTTATAGAAAATAGTAAGCTCTTAGTGATAAGCAGAGAGAACAAATTATAGGAGCAACATCAGCAACAAAAAGTTGCCTTAAATTTTATTAAAGTGTCTGATAAAAGAAGGAGTATTAATATTTCCACCTCTCTGTGTAGACATTTTATATACATTAATAAGTATCAGAACTATTAATTTAAATGAAACTGTCCATGTACAGTGCTTAGGACCACTCCAAGATTAGAACAGCCATTTGATATATACTAGCTTGTTTTTATTATTACTATTATAGTTATTGGTAATAATTGCATTTTCCGTGTGATATCAAAACATCAAATGTTGTTTATATTTTACATACATTTGTGGAAGATTTTACTTAATACTTGCTCCTCCTGTTAGAAGATAAGCATATACTTTATATTTCATGGTCTGTAATTCACCAGAGACTTTCTGTAATTTTTGTCATGCCGGTCCAATAAATGCAAAAATAACTCATTTTAAATGAGCACTATAGCTGCTTTTAAATTATATGACAAAACACATTTCAAGTTATTACTGATAGTTACTCAGCAAGTTTTGTAGAAGTTCACACATTTATGGGAAAAATAAGTTTACATTAGGATGGTAGGCAATACTATTAAATGAATTGAATAAAATTTTAGCATTGGAAAAAGAAAACATAGTAAGAAAAATTCAGACCTTAGTGGATGAGTCTGGCAATAAAGTTTTCAGAATTGAGAAAAGAATTTCTGAAAGATATAAATCCCTAACGAAGTGATACAAGAGGAAAAGAGAGGGGAAAAAAAAAGAGGGAGAAATGGACCAGATTCAGTGAGGAAGTCCAGCATCCGGCTACCTGGAGTCCCAGAAGGGAAAGAGGGAGCAAGGGAGAGGTGACACAATGTTTAATGAGATAGCCTGGTAATACTCTCTGGAACAGAAAGTATTAAGGAAGGGGAAGAACTCTGTGAATGCTTGGAAGTCTGAATAGGGTAACTTCTCACTTGGGAGTGTGATGAACTGTAGAGAATCACAGGAAATGATCTTTAAACAGGCGAGACTGCCTCACAGATGCAGCAGTGAAACTGAGGGCTGTGTGATGACAGCATCCTTGCTCATCAAGAGACAATGGAACAAAGGAACGGCCGACCTAGAGACGTGTGCTCCGTGAATGCATCCTCCAAGAAGCAAAGCTCGGGAGAAATGCTTTCAGGACAACACAAACCAAGGAAATTCTCCACACCACACACTGTTCTCGCATGTCTAATGAGAGATTGTTTTTCAGGCTGTGGGAAAATGGCTGCAGATGGGAAAGTGGAATAAAAGGCTGAACACAATGAAAATGCAGAGCTGTTGGGCCCATGGAAGTTCACATTACTGCACACAACTTCAACAATCTGTGCCGAAGTCTAGGTCAACAGAGAATGGTAAGAATGCCATACAAATGGGCTCAAAACTGCCACAGTAGTCTTTGGGCTAAACTTTGGCACTATAGGAGCAGATTAGTAGTTTTCAGGAAAGGAAATGGGTCCTGCAAGTGACCCCATGAAGAAGGGTAGCCTTTCACAGAACAGACTGAGCCAGTTGCCGTCCTTTCAAAAACAAACACCTACAAACAAGAAACGAATGTGAAGAGACCCACAAACTTTACCTCTACATAAAGGTCAGTTTCAGGAAGACTGATGGGTATGGGGAAGAAATAACAGCGATCCTTAATTAAGGAAAATGACTAGGTTAAACAAAAGGTTAAGGAAGAACAATAAATAGAAGAACCAAAGTACTAAACAAAATGGAAAAAAATGACAAGACATGGTTGCAGTAAAACTGAAATGTCTTCCATATGAAGATGCTCCAGAGAGGGAGGAAACAGGCTTGGGCACACAACTGTTGTTGTTTGAGTCAGGCTCTCACCGGAGTAAAACTGAAATGTCTTCCATACGAAGACGCTCCAGAGAGGGAGGAAACAGGCTTGGGCACACAACTGTTGTTGTTTGAGTCAGGCTCTCACCGGATTGCCCAGGCTGGTCTTGAACTCGTGGATTCAAATGATCCTCTTGCTCAGTCTTTGGAGTAGCTGGGACAAAAGGCACATGTCCCCTTGTCTATATGTTTAAACAACCCCTACAAGGAATGTGAAAAATGAACAACCCGGGGGTAGGAAAGAGAAGAGGAAATTTGGATGGCAGGCACTCGAAAAGCCACGCAAACCAGAAGGAGACCTCACCACATCAACTGTAAAGTTATGGTGAGCGTTTGGAACACGAAGAATCCTCTTACTACAGGTGCATTGGAAAAGCCCTGCCATTATTTTCTGAGCTTTATGACACACATATGTCATGTTTTGACCCAGGTATCTCGCCTTCAGATTTACGCCTGACAGAGTGTGGGGCTGGTGGCTTGGGCTCGGAGAGTTATACACAAGAGCATCTGTGGCAGAGCTATTTACGCTTGCCCTGAGCTGTAGAAAACTCAATGTCTATCAGCTGGAGAGTGAAAAACTAAGCTGACGTTCCAAGTGAAATGGAAATGAACGAATTTCACCCCTACAGAACGATGCCAAGCACCGTGCTCTGTGAAGGAAGCCAGACAGAGGGGTGCAGTCTGTGTGATTCCGTATACAGAGAGGCTTAAGTTGCAGGAAAGTAAGACAGTGTTTATGGATATGTGCTTAGGTGATAAGAGCCACAATGGAAAACACGGAGACAGTCGCCCTGATAGCTCGGGAGGTAGTTAACCAGGAGAGAGCAATGCCTGTGTTATTGGGAGGGGCAGGAAGGGTATTTTGGGGGAAAAGGAAAATGTCGTTTTGTTTCTCTTGTGGTGGTTAATGGGGAGCACTTGATAATAAATACTTGAGCTGTACCTTTTGTATTACACACACCTTTCTGTATGGGGTCATGACTCACATTTAAAAACACAGTAGTGGGGCAAAGAAACCACATGGGGCCCATGACCGCACAGAGCACCGACAAGGTCCTGATCCTAAACATGTACCTGGGATTGATAATGGGAACCACAGTCCCTGTTTGTCACCTAAATAATGGAGCCAGAGCCGAAGTGATGGGATACCCAGTCGAGGAAGTGGAAAGAGCCCTTACTGTCTGGTTCCTCTTCAGCTTTTGTGGCTTTCCAGTTCCTCGGAGACCAGAGAGTTTTACAGGTACCCACCAGCACAAGCCAGCTTTGTTTAGAAATCTGGCTGGCAGGGAGGAAACAAACAGCTGGGGAGGGTTTGCGGAGCCTTGTCATGACTGCTCTGGTTTCTGCCTACCGCAGATGAAAGAACACTAGAAGCAGCATTTTCAAATAAGGCTTTCTGGAATACTCGTCAAGGAGAGCCTTCAGAGATATTAGCAAGAATTCTTTCAGGTTGTTGTAACTAAAATGCAAGGTGGGTTTGTTTTTACTCCTTCGTGGCAACACCATTTGCTGCCCATGTGCTAGTACGGAACCCAAACTACCTAAACCCCTGGAGCCATCACTGAAGGGATGGCTATCGCGATCGCTTTTACAAGAATGATTAGCATTCATGAGACTCACTTGCTTCCTGGAAATGAGCACCAATGGTGCTATTGGAGGCCAGAATCAGATTGTCTTGGCTTATTCAAGAATATTCTGGGTATTTAAGCGGCTACTATAAAACCCAAACCTAATATACACAACACTTGAAATTCATACGGCAGATTGGTTCAACTAAAACATTTACTGGTCACCACAGTCCTTCATAGACCTTATAAATCTAAACATTTTTGGGACAGGATCTTGCTACATGGTTTTGGCTTGCCTTGTATTTGTTTAGTAGCCCAGGTAGGCTTCGAACTTGTGACAATCCTCCCGCTTTAGTTTCTTGAGCGTGGGATTATAGGCTTGAAACCACCATGCCTAACATCAAAGCAAATATTATGTATAGCTTCAATATAACGCATGTTTATTAAGCACCTACCCATAGATTTTAATTCATTAGTATGGAGTTTTGAATGAGAAACATCTTCCATAGACCCACTTGTTTGAATACTTGGTCCCTAGTTGATGCCATTGTTTGGGAAGACTATGAGGAGGTGGAGTTAAGCTGAAGGAAATGTGTTGTGTGTTTGTGTGTGTGTGCGGGGGGCAGGATTTGGGAGCTGATAGCCTCATCTCATTTCCCTTTCTTGTCTCTCAACTCCTGCTGTCTTACCTTCCTGCCATGATGGAACCATTCAGCAAAATAAACCGCCTTCCTTCAATTGCCCTTGGTCATGGCATTTTGTTATAGCATCAGAAAAGTGACTAATATGAGCAGTATTACAAATTAGGCCTTTATGAATATAGCATATGTAAAGAAAGAATATGCATACACACATGTGCAAACACACACACACATGCACTATTGACCACATGTTCAATTTCATACTACAACATTCTCTACTCTAATCCTTAATTGTAATAATGACCTTGTAAGTGACTGTTAATTTCCTTTGGAAAATCAGGCCAAGGGTCAGGGTAAGTCACAGAACTAAATGTGGAAAAGAAAAGGCCAGTTTTACTCCATGTCTTCTAAGTCATGGTAGGTATTTGGGCACTCATATTCCTTCTTAAATTCTGTTCTTGCTTTCAAAGACTTAGGTTCTTTATAGAAATATTCTCTCAAACAGAAAACACAGTTAAATTGCTCTGCCATGAAATGAAGGAACGGCTTGTTCGTAGCTTGTACCGAAAACCAGCATTTCTGTAGAAAGATCCAGAGTGAGTTCTGTGAATGAAGCAAGCAGGGCCTACTTCCTGGTGTGTTTCCTTTGATATACTTGCAAAGGGGAAAGCGGAGAGAGGGGGGGGGGAGGTGGGTAAGCTGTACAGACAGATGCCCCGGTACAGTGAGCAGGGCTCCTACCTTCTGATTGATCTTCATGGTCTCCTCGGTGTGGTAGAGGAGGAACTTCTCCCCGGAGGAAGTCAGGTTCACGTACACCTGCAGGCAAGGGTACTGAGAGAGCTTCCAGCAGTCTGGCCCACAGCTGAAGGAACAGTTAAATGTTTCTGTGATAGACACATTCAGCAGGGTGCACTGAGCTTCTTCTGTCCACACACTGCAGAGAAAGAGCGAGAATGATCACAGAACAGGAGGCACTGGGCAGGAGGGTGAGGTTGCAGAGGGCTGTCTCTTGTCTACTGAACTGCATGGGACTCCCCAGTATCTGTGATCCATAGGTCTGTGCAATGTTGTGATTTTGAACAGACCGGCTTTTGGCAAGCTGTGACACAACACACGCTTTGGTGCCCAAGAACTTTCTTGGTGACAACCACTATATTCACTAATATATTGATATTATTCACTAATATTTTAAGCCATTATTTTCTCCTTATTGAATTCACTGGTAAGCCTAACAAATGCTTTATTTTTAGTTTTTATTTCTTGAGGCAGTCTCACCAGGTAGGCAAGAATGGCCTCGGTCTTGCTCTGCAGCCTGGGCTGGCATCAGTGATGTGATTCTGCTGCTTTAGTCTTCTGAGGGAAGGGATGGCAGTTCTGTGCCACCTGCCTAGCGTAACCTTTTCTTTCCCCGTATGCCTGCATTGCACAGCTCTTGCTCAGTTTTTTTTTTTTTTCATTCCAAACTCCACCACAGCCTGGTTTGTAGGCAGAAGAGTCTTTATTAAGGTAGTGACTGGGGAAAGGTGGCAAAAAGGCAGAGTGGCTTAGGGTTGGACTTAAGATAGAGGGAGGGCAATACTGTACAACAAACTCATTCCAACACGGTAAATAAGATTACAACAACCTTTTGAAGTTGTCAAGAGCAATGGCTACTTGTAGCCTTTCTCCCAACTGGCAATTTACACAGATTACTTTCTTTTTTCTCTCTCAATAACTTTACATATTGGTTATTAATCCCTTTGAAAGGTGAATGAAAAGAGGGCCACAGAAATCAGGTAACATAGTCAAGAACACACAGTTGGTAAGTGGCAGAAACTGTGGCTTTCCCCTGCTCTAAGGCTCTGCTTTATTCTGGCATGGTGTGCACCCCCATGAAACCAACAGAAGACAACCCCTTCAGTGCGGATAAAGGGCTCCATCAGGTTGCTCGGGGTCATTTTAGCCAGAGAGATTCCAGCTAACCATTGGTTGAATTTCGTTTGACAATAACTTGCATTTTGCGATCAAGTCGGGCATTTGCAATTAGGAAGTAATACAGAGGCAATCGATGTGTGCCTCTGGATATGAGCTGTATGGCACTGAGCGGAAAACACGTGTTCACAATGAATAACAACCTTGCCCTTTGCTGGACACATGTGGATAGCTCCTGTACTTTTGCATGCGCCAGCTGACTAGACTCAGTCTGCTAGACTCAGTCTCCTCTGGTGTCGCAAATTGAATTTCCTGGAACACGAATGGCTAGAATCTGTTTTTATAACCAGAGGGTGGGGTATACATCCTATGTAGTTCTAAGCAGGTGTGAGAATCTGAAAGAGGTTTTGGACTCAGCAAAGGGCCCCGAGACAGCGCACTTAAGCGGTGGAAGAGAGGGCAGCTGAAAGAGCAAGCTGACCAGGATGGCAAAGAGGAGCAAATTGCTACATTTCAGCTCCACTTGCCTTCCAAGACGAAAGCATTAATTTAGCCAGAGAAACAAGTGGTAGAAAATGGTGTGATTTTCTCTTGAATTGAAACTTCCCACTGTCGTATGAAAGGGTCTTATTTCTTCAAGTCCAACCATTGGCAGATGTGCCAAGTTCCAGGGTTCAGGGTCTGAATGGCAGAGGGTGGGACTCTGTGGGGGTTTATCAGCTGGCTTATGCAGGAGGACATGCTTTGGTTTCATCACCCAGTGGCTTTTCCTTACTCAGTCAACCCAAGGTAAACATTGAAATGAAAAGGATTCAAACTCTGTTACTTTAAAAGATTAAGTCTCTCAATCTTCACAACACGTTAGAATCACTTAGAAAGTTTCAGAATACCTAGTGCTGGGTCTGTCTTCTAACCAATCAATTCTGACCTTCTTTGGCTTCAGCATATGAAAGTTCCCAAAGAAACTGGGTGATGGAGAAGTAGGGCAAATTAAAAAAAAGGCCATGACCGACTTTATGAGTAGGAAGAGTCAAGACTTATTTTGTAGGATATGGCTTTGGAAGCTTAACTGTCACGTTTGTTGCTGTGGCACACTGAACTGTGTGACGTGTGTGTGTGTGCGTGTGCACTCATATGTGGGTGCATTTGCACGTATGTGTGCATGTTCATGTTTGTGTGTGCAGATGCATGTGTACATGCTCATGTGAATATATTTCTGCGTGTTTGTTGAGGCCAGAGGATGATCTCAGATGTTGTTTCTCAAATGTCACCCACATTGTTTCTTTTGAGACAGGGTCTCTCAATGGGCTGTGCTCAAGAATTAGGCTAGACTTGCTGGCCAGTGAGCTCCAGGGATCGCCTGTCTCCACCTCTCCAATGCTGGCATTACAAGATCATGCCACCATGCCTGGGCTTTTTATGTGGGTTCGAGGTTTGGAACTAAGGTTCTCATGATCATGCAGCAGGATTGCTTATGGAAAGGCATTTCCCAAGTCCCTGTGTCACATCCTCTGGGCCTTGGTGTCTCTGCAATGATGGGAGTACCTATACTTCCCTACGGAGTAGCTATGAGCAAGATATGAGCAATATGTGGAAGGTGGCCAGCTCACAGTAGACAGTTTGCACACAGCCTCCGTTTATTATTATTATTATCCTCAGATAACATTAGAGAACACTGTGTTCCAGGTGCCTATGCAGGTTTTGGAAAGGTGAGAAAGATGACGTCAGGGCTGAATGAGCAATGGGGAACAGAGGAGGAGAGAACAGTAGATTCTTCGGTGGCCATGGCATTACCTTTGCATGTACGAGCGCAACAGTGTGATCCCCAGCAGGAAGTACATCATGACGGAGCACACCATCATGGCCAGCCCTAGAAGGATAGCCCGGTCCTCTCCAGCCTTCAGTGCTGTCACAGTTTTCCTCTTGTCCAGGAGGTCATGGTCCCTGATTTTCTGGTAGATATTTCTGAGGTTGAAAATAATACAGTCTTACATGAGAATCTCGCAGTTCTATTGCATGTCCCTCGAGGGAGGTTACCTTCCTGCCCCTGCCTTCCTAAGGTGAAGGACCTGTAGGAATGCCCCAAACACACCTGAGGGAAGTTGAACCTCAGCACAACCCCTGGCACTTAAAACATCACATGCACACACATGTACATGCACGCACACACACACGCACACACACACACACACACACACACACACACACACCCTCTACATGCATAGAAAGAGGAGAACACAGACATACACACATGTACCATACCTGAACAGTAATGATCCCTAATTCTGTATTTTGGGGATTCATGTCTAACTGTAAAGTAATTTTTTTTTTTCTGTCCCATTCTATGAAAGACAGCAATTCCCTTAACTCTCAAAAAATGTCTTGGGTTTGTTAACTTCATATTAATGAAGTTGATCAGTATTGATATATAATTTCTGAATCTACTTCTCTCTCTCTCTCTCTCTCTCTCTCTCTCTGTGTGTGTGTGTGTGTGTGTGTGTGTGTATGTAAATATCACTTTATTCTGCTTATTCTTGCCACCAGATGCCTGGAATGACAGACATTTTCTTATCCCAGCTCAAACCCAGGGCCTTTAGACTAGATGACCACCCCACAAAAACCTTCTATAGACCGGCATCCATCCGCCCTCTCAGTTCCATGATTCGTTTTGGAGATTTATTTGGAAAGTTTAGGATTTACATCAAAGCTCTTTAAACTTGACCCCGTGTGAACTTGAAGAACAAACTGGTGCCCATTAGCTGTGAAAGGCAGTGGGCGGGTTGACTTTTGAAGCAGGGAGACAGGCTAAGGCTGAGTGGCTTCAAAAACCCACTGGGAAATAATAATAACCTTTTGTTCCTTGGCTAATATCATTTATCAACATGTATTGAACTCTGACGGCTGCCGCTGAGACATGCTCTCAGCAGATGGAAGTCAGCGAGGATGATCTGCGCTGTTCTAGATTATTAGGCTGCCACACTGCACCGAACACACCAGTCTGCCAGAGAATAGAATGGGTGGCGTCGGTTGCCGCCGAACAAGAAACACATAAAATGATACGACTGAGTCATCGCAAAACATATTCGGAAAATAAATGTTCTTTGCAAGCTCTAGAATGGGTACGTAAAAGGAGAAATGGTAGGTTCTCCATGGCTTGTACGTGTCTAGGAAATCAGAATATTACACAGCAAAATGAAAGGCTTGAGTGGGAGGGACACATTTTTGAAATCCACCAATAAATGGCTGTTGAATTGATAGATAAATCAAGGAATGTTAATCTGATGAAAGAATAAGATTCCAATGAGGAAGTTATGTTCACACATGTATTATGAGCGTTGTAACCTCTTGTGCTGGGGACATGGCCCTTATTAAATAAGAGGAAAGACATGAAAATTAGTGTCCTCTGAGATGGGAGCTCCCTGGTGGATCAATTCAGTGTCTTGGCAATTTCCCCAGCTTCAGGGACCAGGACAGGGAGTCAGTGCACGTTACCAAAGGCTTCCTGGAAGAGTAAGGACTTGAACAGAACGTTCAAGGTTGATTGCGGTTTAGCCAGTGGGATACAGAGTTGGTGATATTTGGGTTGAGGGACCGCAGAAGCAAAGGTGCTTGGAGCTGTAGAACAAGTACCAGGAAGTACTATGCTGATGGCCCTCGGAGGTCACCCACCACAGAAACAGCACAGCCAGAGGAGAAATGCGGTGTCGGAAGGCTTTGAAAGTCATTCTAGAAAGTAGCCTTCCTCCTGTAATGAAAGGGAAGCTGTCAACTGGTGATGTAGGCAGATCCGAGTTTCAGAGTGATGGCTGTGCCTGCAGTGTGGGGATTAGAAACAGGAGAAGTCTTAAATCAGGGAGGGAGGAGGAGGTACTGGGAGATGGTTCCAGTAGGGTTGGCGGAGGATGATGAGGGCTGCACCTTGGTTGAAGTCAGGATAAAGAGAGAGGAGGCAGCATGTGGAGAGATGTCCAGAGGACGAACCCCTCAGGAGGCAGTGGCTGCTCAGTGCAGAGGAGGAGGAGGCAGTGAGAGAAGGAGGCAGCTGAGCTGGGATCTGCAGCGTTGCTGTGTCTGGTGGGGAAGAGTGAAGCGTGGGAAGGCCCAGTTGTTTTCTGTCCACATCCCTTTGGAGAATAAAAGTTATCGTTGAGTCCAGGGGACAATAGAAGTGTTTGGAGGGGACTGGTGAGATGGCTTGGGCTGTCTTCCCCTAAGCCCAATAACCTGAGCTTTTGCCCTGGGTTTCATATGTAGGAGAGGAGAGACACCGGCAAGTTATCTCCTGACCTCCACATGAAGGCATATGTGTAATAAACAAACATATATAAACTGAAAAAGCCTGGGCTGAAGAGATGGTTCAGTGGCGAAGAGCAATAGCTGCTCTTACAAAGGATCCTGGTTCAGTTCCCAGCACCCACATAAGAGCTTGTAACCGTCTGTAACTCCAGATCCTGAGAATGGGACACACTCTTCTGGCCTCTGCAGACATGGGCATGCCTATGATACACAGATATACATGCAGGCAAAACACCCATACACATAAAGTCAAAATAAGTACATCTAAAACATTAAAGCAAAAGGCTTTGTAAACAGATGTTCAGTTTTTCCAGTAAAGCTTTGTTTTGCCCCAAGCAATAGTCAGCACACTTAAAAAAAAATCAACCTTGATGTCTACATAATTTTTTGGAAATTTCATGTCAAGACTCAGTTTATAATTCTGGAGATGCACAATGTAGATGATCTTCCTGGATGGCAGTGAGACTCACTGCACACCTGTTGACTGGTGATCATGTTGACTGGACAGACAGAAGGGGAGCGGGTCAGTTCATGAGGCAGGCTATCCCAGGATCGGTTACTGGAGGCTAAGGCACGAGAGGCCTGAAGGTTCAGTTCACGCTGTGAACAGAACCCACCTGCTTTAGCAACTTACAGACTCCACAAAGACGTGTTTTAAGCAGAATTAATTTAATATAGTGGATATGGCTATATTTTTTCTCCCCTATGTGTTAATGGCACATTTTAATATGTTTCATCAGGAAGTATGTTGTCATGAAGTTGTTCTTCTCAGCAGTATTTTAAGATTGCTTGATTTTTTTTAAAAAAGACTGGGCTTCTGAATCCCTTTATAAATATATTTTAACAAGCATATTCAAGTGCATGTGCATAAATATGTTATTCTAAGAAATGTAAAAACAATTTTATATTTCCTATAGGGCTTGTTGAGTTTATACTGATTTATTTTCAAATCCTTTTTGGGGGCATTTAGTTAGTCTTAGGTTTACTATTGCTGCGACAAAACACCATGAGTAAAAGCAAGCTGGGGAGAAAAGGGTTAACTCGGTTTACACTTCTACATCCTGGTTCATCACTAAAGGAAATCAGGACAGGAACTCAAATAGCGCAGGAACCTGGAGGCAGGAGCTGAGGCAGAGGCCAGGGAGGGATGCTGCTTACTGGCTTGCTCCTCATGCCTTGCTCAGCCTGTTTTCTTAAAGAACCAGAACCACCAGCCCAAGGATGGCCCCACCCACAATGGGCTGGGTCCTCCCCCATTAGTCCCTAATTAAGAAAATGTCCTACAAGCTTGCCTACAGCTGGATCTTATGGAAGCGTTTTCTCTATTGAGGTTCTCTCCTTTCAGATAATCCTGACCTGTGTCGAGCTGGCATAGAACTAGCCTGCATTGAACACTGTTTTCCTGAGAGTTTGGCTTTGCCGGACTTTTCATCCCAGTTTCACATCACACTTGTTACCACCCTCACAGAGTTGCCAGCCTTAGCAGTGAACCAGTTTGCTTATTTCCTGTATTCAAAAGCCTAGAGTAATTGATTTGGGTAGGGCATTTTTTTCAAACGTTTTTATTTTAAATTACGTGTATAGGTCTCTCTGTGTGTGTGTGAGAGAGAGAGAGGGAGGGAGGGAGGGAGGGAGAGAGAGAGAGAGAGAGAGAGAGAGGGAGAGAGAGAGAGAGAGAACAGGTGCCAGTAGACAGACTCTCTAGGAGCTTGAGTTACATGCAGTACCTGGTACAGACGCTGGGAACTGAACATGGTTTCTCCGCCAGAGCAGCAAAAGCTCCCCCTGAGCAATCTCTACAGCCCTGGAGGAGAACTTCTAAGAGCTCTCTGGATGGCTCTTATTTTGTCCTCATGGAACCATTAAAGAAATGGTTAACTTATCTTTGTTCGGGTCCTGTTTTCCCCAACAGGAAGGCTCTGGGTGAGAACATCAGGACTCTGCAGGGGAGCCTTTGAGGAGGAGAAATTGACAAAATGCATAGCCTAGCTGCTGATCTAGAAAGCTAGCCCCAGGGAGCAGAACAGGGAACAGAGACAAGAGGAGACCTCAGAAAGTGTCTGGACACAGACAAAGACAGCAGAAATGTAGAGGGGGCACTGACTGCAGATTCTGAGATACAGGAGACAAGAAAGGGGTCCCTAATTAAGGGTGCCTGTCACCATAGTGATCCTTGTTAGTTAGTGTGAACTGTGATCAACACTGTAGAGTTACAATAACTGTGTTAAAATTTTGATACACAATGAACCTTAATAAATTCACCAAAATGGTTGATCAGCAAATGGGTTCTTTGTCAAACTGGTTTCAGGCAAATTGGTGACTGGTGTACTGATCTCCTTCCATTCAGAGGACCACTGGTAGATAGATACACAACCTAGGGCTGTGGCTTAAATGGGAAGGAGGTTTGGAAGCCTGCCACTGATGCAGGTAAGAATGGCTTAGACGTCTGTGACGGACTGAACCAAGCCTTGGAGAGGCAAAGGACTGAGAAGAGTCTCTAGGAGTTGGGGGTAGAAGGGTTGAGTGCTGCTGGGGTCCAGGACGAGAAAGGAAGGCTCTTGGTTGGTGAGCTGTGCACAAGCCAGAGAAAAAGATCAGCTTGTGAAGTGCGAGAGGACATTAAAGGCAATGAAACAAGTGTGACAGGTAGATTTGCACTTTAGAAACAT